AGCCTCGTGTATTAAAATCACACAAGCACCACATTTTTTGTAAGAAAACTTTTATGCAAGTATAAAAAATACTGTACATTAAAACATATTAGGCATTGCATATTGTTAACCATCTTCTCTAATTCACACAAGATAGGATCACAAAGTTCTGTCAATAAAAAGCACCTAATTTAAATTTAGCTGATCTTTCTCTCAAGTTTGTGTCACCTCCGCTGCGGTTTTAAGATCCTGTCTAAATATAAAGCATCGAGGACGCCAGCCATTTCTGTTAAACTGCTAAACTGCTCTGAGTCTGACTGAGGTAGGAGGGACACTTCATATACTCTATACTGTTACATCTTTAACTGTCGTTTTGAAGGCAAGTCTTCACACGTCTTCAAAGAGACAAAGATTTTCCACTGCGGTAAACAGAGCTGAGTGGTTGGATAGCTTCACTGTTGGCCATTTTTCCTTCTTTGAAAAACATTTTCCTGCTTAACATCTCTAACAATGGGTATCCACAGCTTTGTGAAACAGGTGAATTTAGACATGTATCCAAATTCGAACTGTTTTGTCCAAGTCAATCTAATCCTCATGGAAGTCTTCTGCCCCCTGCACATTTCTGAATGTGATGCGTGTTGGAACACATCAAAATCGTGAGCCTACAACTTGAATATCATTCTGAGGAGGAACGTGAAGATCGTCCTGCCTTTTCAACGCACTCACACTCCTCACCTGACTGGAACACTGTGGAGTCTGCTGTTTGGTCTGGTACACTGTCCTCTTTCTTTAATAAAAGCTGGATCATACTGGCATAGACGTTTTTAAATCCATGGTGTGCAATAAGAATGGGACTTCCAGGTTCGGAGTGATCTACAAGTTTCAGCCAGGGCAACCTTGAAGGCGACAGGTCAAATCAAAATCAGGTATTTTGTTTTAACTCCTTGGAACCATGTGATCCCACCTCATTCACACGAACGAGGCATCAGCTGCGTGCTAACTTCCCCCACTCGATGACCATGTTCCTGATTTCCTCCTGAGCCTCTTCAAGGTGACGAACCTGCTGGGTCCACCTCAAAAAATAGCCTGAGGGTCAGACAGCGGGGCCGAGTGAGCACCAACACTTAAACTAAACTAAAGAGGTAACAACATAAGCTCAGAACAGCAACACTGCAATTACATTAAAGGCTGAAAAAGATGAGATCTGAAGACAAGTGCAGGGCAAAACTCACCTTTCCAGAGCTGCAGGGACTGAGGATGAACTGAGGGCCAGATTGCTAGCTCAGTGCGTTCATACAGGGGGTTAGAGTAGTAATCCCTCTCCGTGGGCCTTAGCAGAGCCTGGAACAAACAGTGAGTCCTTTCCTTTACTTCCAAGGCACACCTGATTGAAAGGCAAACAAAGTGTGAATCTTAGTTTGAAATGAAGACACTCAGCAGCAATCTTTAAATATGTAGAAAAAACTGACCTTTCCTGATCACTGTTACACAGAAAGGTGCCATAATCCGAGGCGTAAACTTCAGTCGCCAGTCGCAGGAGCAGCGCCTCAGAGAAGCCCAGAGCCAAGGGGAACTGCCGCCAAAGCTGCCACACGCAGTCCAGCAGCAGCAGGAACACCGGAGACTCCTGCTGGAGACGAGCATGGGAGTAAGCCGAGTGAGCGCATCGCTGCTGGAACGGGTGTCCTGCCTGCAAACACACAAACACATGTCAGCTTTTAGGATCTAATTTTGTGGCAACAGATAGTCTCAGTCCTGTAGCCGCTGGGTGTGCTTCTGTTTTTAAAAGCTCACGGCTTGTTTGGACACTCGTGTCAGAAGTAGACAGAGATCCCCGACGTTACAATGCATTTCTTTGGATTCTCGACAACATTTATGGGAGCAAATCAAGAAAAAAAGACATTTAAAATTCTTCCTAATCCTCCCCGACTTAAATCCTGGCACGCGCCTGTATCCACTCTCTCTCCAGCAGTCCCAGGAAGCCCTCCACTGTGCGGCAGCATGGATCCATGATGAGCTGAGCCAGAGTGCTGATGAGCAAAGAGCAGTCTGTCCCTTCAGAGCCGTGAACAAGAACAGAATGGCCATCCCTGGAAGAAACAACACTCATTAACATGTTTAAGAAAAACAAACCTGTGTGTAAGGAACACAGTTATGGCAACTGCCTTCTTTCTGTTTCTTCAAGATTTAAAAGAAGTGGTTGTTGACTTGCCCTCACTTCCTTGTCCTGTGTCTGCTTGTTGGTATTTCTGTGTCTACATTCAATTCAATTCAATTTTACTTATACAGCGCCAAATCTAAACAACAGTCACCTCAAGGCGCTTTGTACTGTAAGGTAGACCCTACAATAATACATACAGAGAAAAGCCAAACAATCATATGACCCCCTATGAGC